CTTTTTTATATTGTGATGACCAAAACTGGATTCAGTATTCTGTGTGTGCTCTTACTAAGGCTTTATAAAGTGGTACTAATACTTCATGTGAACTTGAATCTATCCCTCTATTAATGCAACCTAGGATTGCATTTTTTGACAGTTGCTGCACACTGCTGGCTCGTATTTAAGTCCAGTAGCACTCCAAGATACCTCTCACAGTTACTGTTACTGAGCCAGCTTTCACATAATCTGTACATTTGGTTTTTCTTGCCTAAGTGTTAAACCTTATTTTTCTCTACACTGAATTTCATTTTGTTACATAGGGCCCGATGTTCAAGTCTGTCTAGATCCATCTGTGTCTTGAGCCTATCTTTTGAGATGTTGGCTATTCCTGATAGCTTGGTCTCATTTGCAATTTTCCCTTCTATTCCCTCATATAAATCTTTTATAAAGATATTGAAGAGTGCTGGGCCTCCACTGTTTGATTTCCTTCATGTAGATGTAGTTCCATTAAGCACTACATTTGAGTATAGTTTGTTAGCCAGTTACAAAACCATCTGGTGGTGATGCTATCCCACATTTTTCAAGCTTAACAAAAAGTAGGTTGTGGTCTACTTTGTCAAATGCCTTACTGAAATCCAAGTATACTATGTCCACAGCATTTTTCAGGTCCACTAATTTAGTCACTTTGTCAAAGAATTTCTTTGGCATGATCTATTTTTGAGAAACCTTATTGGCTTCTGTTTATAACTTTGCTTGCTTCTAGGAGTTTGAAGATCTGTTCTTTGATTATCTTTTATTTATTTATTTATTTATTTATTAAATTTATATACCGCCCTATTCCTGAGGGACTCAGGGCGGTGAACAGCGAACGATAAAAATACATGTAATACAAACGTTAAAAAAACCAATTAAAATATTCTAAACACTCTGGTCCTAGATAATTCAAGACATCCCAGTTTAAAATCAAATCAAAAGCAATATAAAGGGAAAGTTAGGCCAGGCCGGCCTGCTGAAACAGGAATGTTTTGAGGGCACGGCGGAAAGTGCGCAAATCCGGAATCCTCTGTATCTCTGGGGGGAGCTCGTTCCAGATGGTGGGTGCCCTCACAAAAAAGGCTCTCCCCCTGGGGCCGCCAGTTGACACTGTTTGGCTGACAGCACCCTGAGAAGCCCCTCTCTATGGGAGCGTACTGGGCAGTGAGAGGCTATTGGTGGCAGAAGGCGGTCTCGTAAGTACCCCGGTCCTAAGCCATGGAGCGCTCTAAAGGTGGTAACTAAGACCTTGAAGTGCACCCGGAAGACCACAGGGAGCCAGTGCAGCTCGCGCAGGAGGGGAGCCACATGGGAGCGCCATGCTGCTCCCATAACTACCCGTGCGGCCGCATTCTGGACCAGCTGGAGCCTCCGGGTGCTCCTCAAGGGGAGCCCCATGTAGAGAGCATTACAGTAGTCCAGGCGTGAAGTGACGAGGGCATGAGTGACCGTATTTAACGAGTCCCGATCCAGAAAGGGACGCAACTGGCGAATCAGGCGAACCTGATAAAAAGACCTCCCGGCCACAGCTGTCAAGTGTTCTTCTAAAGACAGCCGTGAGTCCAAGAGGACGCCTAAGTTGCGAACCCTCTCCGTGGGGGGCAATGACTCATCCCCAATAGTCAGTGATGGCACCAACTGACTATATCGGGACATCGGAAACCACAGCCACTCGGTCTTGGATGGGTTGAGCCTGAGTCTGTTCCTCCCCATCCAGATCCGTACAGCCTCCAGGCACCGGGACATCACTTTAAGGGCATCATTGGGGTGGTCCGGGGTGGAGATGTATAGCTGAGTATCATCAGCATACTGATGATACTTCACCCCAAAACCACAGATGATCTCACCCAGCGGCTTCACATAAATGTTGAACAGAAGGGGTGAGAGAACCGACCCCTGTGGCACCCCACATACAAGGGGCCTCAGGGTCGACCTCTGCCCTCCTGTCAACACAGACTGCGACCGATCAGAGAGAAAGGAGGAGAACCACCGCAACACGGTGCCCCCCACCCCTAACTGTTCCAACCGGTGCAGCATGATACCATGGTTGATGGTATCAAAAGCTGCTGAGAGGTCTAATAGGACCAGGACAGAGGAGCAACCCCTGTCCCGGGCCCTCCAGAGATCATCTACCAATGCGACCAATGCCGTTTCTGTGCTGTATCCAGGCCTGAAGCCCGACTGGAACGGATCTAGATAAGCCGATTCATCCAAGTACTGAGGAAGCTGTCGCGCTACCACACTCTCAACAACCTTCGCAACGAAGCGAAGGTTGGAGACTGGACGGTAATTAGCCAACACTGCTGGGTCCAGGGAAGGCTTCTTGAGGAGAGGCTTCACCACCGCCTCTTTCAAGGTGGCGGGGAAGGTACCCTCTCTCAAGGAAGCATAATTTCCAGGATCTTCCCAGGTATTGATATCAGACTGATTGTCTGATGTTCCCGGGTTCTATTTTCCCCCTTTTTTTGAAGATGGGTGCCACATCAGCTCTTTTCCAGTCCTCTAGTAGTTTCCCACTGCTCTTGGAGCTTTGAAAGATATGGTTCAATGGTTCTGAGATCATGTCTGTCAGCTCCTTCAGAACTCTGGGATATAATCCATCAAGTCTTGATGATTTGAACTCATCTAGGATGGACAAGTTTTCATTTACCATTTTCTTGCCTATTTTAATTTGTATTTCTTTGTATTTATAATTTGTATTTAATTTGTATGGTTCTCTTTTTGATAGGTAGGGCTATTTTTTCCTTTTGCATGAACAAAGATGGAAAGAATGAATTAAGCAGCTTTGCTTTCTCTCTGCTGCTCATCTACTTCCTTGGCATCTTCTTCCATTAGTGGACCAATTGTTTCCTTGACTTGTTTCTTGTCTTTTACATGTTGAAAGAACCTTGTTTTTATTGTTTTTGACATTTGTTGCAAGTCTTACTTCATTCTGAGCCTTAGCTTTCCTAACTTCATCTTTGCAGATTCAGGCTATATGCTAGTGTTCTGCCTTAGTGATGTATCCCTCTTTCTATTTGTTATACTTATCCTTTTTGTCTTTCAGTTTATGATAGAGTTCTTTGTGTTGGTTTCTTCTTGGATTTTTTATTTTTTTTCCCCCGTGGTATTGTACTGGACTGGGCTTTTATGTTCATATTTTTCAGAATTTCCCAAGCTTCTTGAGTTGCTTTCCTCTTTAAAATTTTCATCCATGGAATCCTTCTCAAGCTGTCTCTATGTTTGTTGAAATCAGCTCTTTTAAAGTCTAAGATACTGGTTTGATTATGTTATGTTGCTTGTGCCCGCATTATATTGAATTCTAATATGACATGGTCACTCTCTGTTAATAAAAATTAGGTCCAGTATAGTTGTCCCTCTAGTTCCCTCTACCTCTTGTATGACAAAATTGTCAGCTAGCTTGGTCAGGAACCTGACCTTGATGCAGAGTTTTTCTTCCAGTTGGTATCAGGGACTGGTAGTATACACCTATGGCAATGTCATTCTTTTTTTCCTATGCATTTTAGGAAGCCTTTCTCCTTGGTTTTAGGCATTTCTGTAGAGATGTAGTGTTCTCTTACATATAATGCAGCTCCACCTCCTCTTTTGTTAGGCCTGTTTCTTTTAACAGTTTATATCTTCTATCAGTACATTCCAGTCATGAGTTTCATCCCACTAAGTTTTGGTAATGGCAACATATCTTACCTGCCCTCATGTATTAGTAGTTCAAGTTCACCCTCTTTGTCCCCAAACTTTGAATGTTGGTGTATAGATAGGCATTTAGTCCTTTATGGCTTATGAGCATGGATATGCTTCTTACATCTCCTTGTGTGCATCTGAGTTTTTCTTCCTTCCCATCAATCTCTATCTCTTTGTTTGATTAGTTGTCTTGGGGTTTATAATAAAATGAGGATAGAAGAAAAACTCTGATTTAGAGCATAGAAAATGAGGAACATACAGAACAAGAATTGTAGCCATAATAGCTGCTTCATCCAGAAAAATAGAAATATAAAATAAAGGAAATGGGTGATACAATACCAGTTACTGTATCATCATCATCATCACCATCCTGTTTTCTGGGTACTTTGCTAGTTCAGATGCTACTGCTTAAAGCAACTTGCCACCTTAAATTGTTATCAGTTGCATGGAATATCATAGCTCTTAGACAAGCCAAGGTTTTGCTGGAGTTAACACTTCCTATGCCCTTTCCAATATGCTATTTTATCTTCTATTTTTTTCAATTTACTCTTTAGCATCTGTGTAGTGCACTCTTTTGAGATTTGATCCCTCCCCCCTTTTTTCCTGTTTTCTGTATGAACATGCAAGAGAGGGTGAGGCAAAAAACCCCCATGTAGTTAACAGAGAAAGAACAAGAGCAACATCTGCATTTGATTCTTTTCTGATAAAGTTTTACACCCATCCATTCCATTCCATCCACTGATTGATGATTCTTGTGCATTAGGGGTTTTTAATAGGTTAATGATTCTTGCTTGAAGGGTTTAGCTCAATGTTTCTCAAACTTGGCAACTTTAAGCTGTGTGAACATGCTGGCTGGGGAATTCTGGAAAATCTTAAAGTTGCCAAAGGTTGCCAAGACTTGCACTGATTGCAGAGTTCATAGAAGAAAGTAGTCTTTCTCCACATAATGTTATTTACTGGATGGAGAAAAGGGGTGTTAAAGATTTCTGGGTTCTTCTTTTATACAGAGATCATTGTTAGCCTTTGAAAGATATGAGTAATGTCCAGATCTCAAACTCCTTTTAGCTTATCATGTATTTGTAGAAGAAACTAAATTATGTATTATGTTGCATACCATCTGATTGATTTCAGAAGCATCAACTTTTATGATATTAAATAAACCAATCAAACGTGCCTGCAAGGGGGCAGCTGATTTGAATCTAATAATTGGATGGTACAACAAAAGGACAAATGAGTTTTTGTTTTATAACAGGGTATGTACATGTCATTTGTCTCACATCAGAAAAAAAATAATTACTACTCACCTCTATCATTCACATGAATTATGTATTATCCCACAGGATAGTTTGGGACACATGTTTCTGTTTTCTTTGAATTGTTGTAATGCATAGAATTCTCTTTAATCTGAAATAAAATAAAATTCTAAAAAGGATGGTCCTCCAGTTTTAAAATCAATTCTTTGTTGCAAATAACAATAGCTCAATAGGCACACTTAATAGCTAATAAAGAGTAGATGGAAACAGAATCTAAACAGCAGCCAAAAAAGCTAGTACAATCCTGGGTTGTATAAACAGAGGCATAGAATCAAGAGCAACTAAGATGATCAAAAGCCTGCAGACTAAAACATATGAAGAACCTGTTAGGTTCAGCTTGTAGCTTACTCCTAACTTGTTGGTCAGGCAATATATCTGTTTCTTTAAGAAACAACTGAGCCACGTAATCAGGGTTTGCTGAACCCTGTAATTAGGCTACAGTGCATAAATAAGCAGCGCAGAGAAGCGTTCCTTCTTCCTGAATGATCCTGTTGCTTCCTGCGTCTTTCTGCTGATTGTTATATGGTACTGTATACCAAGAGTTACTAAAGTCTGTTTGCTTCGGTAAGGGAAGATACTTACTGGACTGATATTACTGTTTATGACCTTGGACTGTTTTACCTACACCGAGACTGCTTCTTATCTTGTATATAAAGTATTTTTCTCACACGAGCTGTACGTTTATCTCCTTCCCTGTGTGTTTCTGCTCTGCTCGTTGCACAAGCAACAAATACTTTTTACACACACCCTAACATTGGTTATGGGCCCAGAACATTCCAGGGCTCTTTAATTTGTTTTTGCGGAAGTGAGAAGTGCAGGCAGTGGGTGTAGTAGTCAAGATGATGGCTTTTGAGCAAGGTACAAGTTATTCTACCATAACCCGGTTGGATGGTACAAACTATGTTACCTGGTCCACAAAATGCTGTCTACTTTTGCGAAAAGAAGGACTGTGGGACATGATTAATAATCCACTGGACATAACTGCATTGAATGCTGCTGACAAAGAAGATGCCAAAAAGATAGCGAAGTTTCACAGGGACAACGAGCGTGCTTTATGCATCATTGGCCTGACACTGGGAGACCAGCAACTTGTCCATTTCCGGGGCAAAGAGTCTGCTGCGAGGTGCTGGACAAAGCTAAAGAAGCTCTACGTTCATGACTCTGTGGGTGTCCATATCTACCTGACACGGAAATTATTTCGCTTACATCTTCAGAAAGGAGGAGACATGATGGCTCACCTGGACTCCATGACAGGGCTTTTCCAGGAGCTACATGAGAAAGACCTTGTGTTTACTGAACTGCAGCAAGTTTATATTATTCTTTCATCGTTGGATGACAGTTATGACTCTTTTGTTTCATCATTAGAAGTATTGTCTAGAGATGAATTAACATTGGCCAGTATAACTGGTAGGTTACTGGATGAGGCCAAACGTAGGCAAGAACGAGACCAGTTAAGGATGCAACAGCAACCAAAAGTGGAAGCTGTATATGAGAATGTCAATATTGTTAAACGCTGTTATGCATGTGGGGCTAAGGGGCACATTGCAAAATATTGTAATAATAAGAAAGTGTCTGCTAGAAACTCTGCTAAACCCAGGAAAGGGTGTAATTTAGCAACCAGTTCATCTATTAATATAAGAGATGATTGGTGGGTGATTGATAGTGGTGCCTCTCAATCAATAACAAAAAACAGAAAACTGTTTCTAAACATGAAGAAAAGTACTAAAAAGGTCAAATTAGCTAATGGCTGGAATGTGACTGTGGCTGGGGAGGGACTTGTTCAATGTTCTATTAGTAAGCACCCTTTACCCATGCTTTATATCCCTAGTTTGAAATATAACCTTTTATCTGTAAAGTCATTACTACATTCTGGGTTTACAGTAACTTTTAAAAACAACAAATGTTTGCTTGAATGTGAAGGCACTGTAGTTACTGCAGAATTGGAAAACGACTTATTTGTCATTAGGGATAAGTCATTACTGTTAGTTCAGTCAAAAGCTAAATTTGGAAATGTAAGGCCGCATGATGAATGCGTACATTTACTACATAGAAGGCTTGGTCATCTGAATTTCAGGTTGTTGCATTCGACTGTTAAGCAGTCTAAAGGCATTAAGTTAAGGGCTTGCAGCAAATACCTGAACTGTAATACTTGTAACCAGCATAAAAGTAAAGTTACACCTGCAAACCGCTGCAATGGGTTTAAAACAACTAAACCTTTGGAGGTAGTCTTTTTAGACTTAATAGGGCCAAAGAAACCCAGTTTAGGGGGAGCATGCTATATTTTAAGTATAGTTGATCACTTTACCAGATATGGTTTTTGCTACCTTATGAAGTCCAAAAGTGATACGTTCCAATGTATCACAAACTGGCTTCGTTTTGTAGAACGGAAGCAGAGGTTTAAGGTGAAATGCATTGTTACTGACAATGGAACTGAGTTTACTAACCATCAGTTGGCTAAGTTTTTGAAGGATGCTGGGATACAGCATAAACGTTCTGCCCCTTTTCGGCCGGAACATAATGCATATAGAGAACGAAGAGGCCAGACCCTACAAGCTATGACTAGGACTATGCTGGCTGATGCTTGTTTACCTGATAAATTGTGGGGAGAAGCAATACTATGTGCCAATCATATTTTAAATAATGTGGTGCACTCCTCTACAGGAAAAATACCTTTTACTTTATGGCACGGGAGGAAGCCTGATTTAAGTTATATACATACTTTTGGTGAACCAGCCTGGGTGCATATACCGGTTAGTCAGAGAAGGAAGGACCAACAGAGAGCAAAGAAAATGATTTTTGTTGGCTATGAGGCTAACCATAGGTCCTATAGGTTCTGGGAAATAGGAACAACAAAAGTTTTGTGTAGCGCTAGTGCTAAATTCCTAGAACATGAAGGCTGGGACAGGTTAGAAAAAGCAGACTATGGTTTTACAGATGTTGATGTTAAGATAGACCATATTCCTGATGATAGTTCATCTGAGATGGATGATAAACCATCTATTAAGGTTGAAGAACAGGAACAGGAATCAGGGTTAGGGGAGGATGAACCCAATATACCTGATGTTAGTCCTGTTATGCCTAGACGATCTTCCAGGGACCGGCATCCACCAGATCGCTATAAAGCCACAGTGGTTTGCCAAGTAGATATCGAACCATCCAGTTATCATGATATAAAATTATATCCAGAAAAGGAGCAAAAAGCCTGGCAAGAGGCAATGGATAGAGAAATTGATTCATTGAAGAGGCTTGGTGTCTATGAAGTTGTAAGAATACCACCAAATGAGAAACTTATAGGCTGTAGATGGGTCTACAAGGTAAAGAAAAGTGTAGATGGGGTAGTAACCCATAAAGCTCGGCTTGTTGCACAAGGGTTCTCACAGACAGATAGAGACTATGATGAGGTTTTTGCTCCAAGTTTACAAGCGAGCACTTTGAGAACGATGCTGGTTTGGGCAGCTAGAAATAAATGCTCTATTACTCATATAGATGTCGAGACAGCTTACTTGAATGCTCCATTGAGGCATACAATATATATGAAGAAACCTCCTGGTTATGATACACAGGATAGAACTGAGTGTTGGAGGCTACAAAAAAGCCTATACGGTTTAAGGCAATCAGGTTACGAGTGGAACCAATGTATAGTGCAGGAATTACATAACATTGGGTTCTATCAGGGCGTAGCAGATAAATGTCTGTTTAAAAAAGAACAGGATGGATGTGTTTCATTCTTGTTACTCTTTACAGACGACATTGCCATAATTACCAGAACTGACGCTGAGGCCAGAGAGATTATCGGTCAGTTGCAAACAAAATTTAAACTTAGAAATCTAGGACATATACGGCATTATCTAGGGCTGGATATCCTGAAAACATCTAGAGGATTTAAAATTTCACAATCTAATAAAATCTGCAAATTGTTGACAAAATATGGGATGGAATTATGTAAACCTGCCAAGACTCTATGACACAAGAATTCCAACAGGATAGTTTGCAGAGTCCACAGTTCAGTAAAGAACTGTATCAATCATTAATAGGCAGTTTGTCGTATTTGAGCAACTGGACACGGCCTGATATAGCTTTTAGTGTTAATCAACTAGCACAATATAGTTCAGAGCCTACTGATAGGCATTGGCAAGCTGCAAAACGTATTCTTAGATATCTTAAAAGAACGTTACATTTTGCTATGTATTTAGAACCAAATGCCAATATGGTGTTAAAGGCATATGCTGATGCCAGTTTTGCCAGAAAATCTACGTCTGGAATAGCAATCATGTTGGATAACTGTCTGATTGGATGGAGATCAATTCGCCAGAAACACATCAGTTTGTCTACCATGGAAGCGGAGTTTTCTTGTCTATCACTTACATGTACTGAACTGATTTATTATAAACAGTTGATGGAAGATATTGGATTCAAAATGGACTATCCTATTACGGTTTATGAAGATAACCAGGCAGCCATTACAATGGCAACGAATCTTGCTGTAAGGACAAGGACTAAATACACTGATATACGTTATCTGAATGTTCGGCAATGTGTTAAGGATAACATGATTACATTGGAATATTGCGCATCAGAGGACAATATTGCCGACAATTTTACCAAAGCGCAAGGTGCCATTAAACACACCAATTGTTGTGAAAGATTTGGGTTAAGAATCTGAAATGTAACTGATACCACTGTACAATGTATGATTTGGATGTGTAGTTTTGTTTCTGTATCTATTGTGTATATTGTCCTGCCCAATGGGGAGAATGTTAGGTTCAGCTTGTAGCTTACTCCTAACTTGTTGGTCAGGCAATATATCTGTTTCTTTAAGAAACAACTGAGCCACGTAATCAGGGTTTGCTGAACCCTGTAATTAGGCTACAGTGCATAAATAAGCAGCGCAGAGAAGCGTTCCTTCTTCCTGAATGATCCTGTTGCTTCCTGCGTCTTTCTGCTGATTGTTATATGGTACTGTATACCAAGAGTTACTAAAGTCTGTTTGCTTTGGTAAGGGAAGATACTTACTGGACTGATATTACTGTTTATGACCTTGGACTGTTTTACCTACACCGAGACTGCTTCTTATCTTGTATATAAAGTATTTTTCTCACACGAGCTGTACGTTTATCTCCTTCCCTGTGTGTTTCTGCTCTGCTCGTTGCACAAGCAACAAATACTTTTTACACACACCCTAACAGAACCACTGCAGGATTTGGGTTTGGCTAGTCTAAAGAAAAGAAGGACGAGAGGTGACATTATAGCAGTATTCCAGTACCTGAGGGGTTGCCACAAAGAAGAGGGAGTCAAATTATTGTCCAAAGCACTAGAGGGCAGGACAAGAAACAATATTTGAAAACTAATCAAAGAGAGAAGCAACCTGGAATTAAGGAGAAACTTCCTAACAGTGAAGACAATTAATCAGTGGAACAGTTTGCCTCCAGAAATCAAGGACACTCCATCACTGGATGTTTTAAGACATATTTAAGACTATACATATTTGAAATGGTATATGCAATATAATTTGTCTTTTTTTTTATGTCAGTAATGACACCAACAAACCTTCAAAATGGAATAATTTGAATTAAAGTTACTATATATATATTCAAATATGCCCCAGGTTCTATGGAATTTTCCTCACATCCTCATAAATAGTACAATGATGTCACAGTAACCATTTTTCTATGCCACAGACCTCATGCCATAGCTTTTCTGTTGACTCCAGCCCACATTTGAAGCAGTTTAAAATTGTCTTTAGCTGTTATTATTTCAAAATAAATAGATTTTGAATGGATACAATGAAGCATACTGAATCAAGAATGTGGTTAATGAAATAGAAGCTGGGATCTCTCCAGTTTCTATTAACTACAATACTTGAAGCTACTGTGAGTTTGTTCTCTTGCCTTTGATCACTAGGCATTATAGTCTTATGGCTTTGGACTTCTGGTTCATTTTCAGCCCTTTGAGATATTCCAAATTAGGTAACCAAACCCATGAATATTAATACTGCCTGTATTGTAAGGTTATAGTAACAGAGTCTTGTAAGTCTGAAAGCATTTCGCCTTTCCCCACTTTTACATTCCAGAAAACTAGGGAGAGTTGACTCTGAGGTGCTTTCTATACCCCCTTGCCTCTTTGAAACTCAGATGTCTCTTATCTTTCTCTAGGCAGCAGCTCTTCCTCCTGTCTCTCAAGTTTATTTTCACCAACCAATATATCTGCAGAGACATCTACCCAGTGGTGGGATTCAAGTAATTTAACAACCAGTTCTCTGCCCTAATTATTTCTTCCAATAACCAGTTTGTCAAACTGCTCAGAAAGTTAACAACTGGTTCTCCTGAAGTGGTGCGAACTGGCTGAATCCCATCACTGCATCTACCCACATAACACCTGAACAACCCTTAAATTCTTTTAAGGGCTCTTCGCAGACCCTATTTGAAAGAATGCTAGACCTATGCTTAAAAATGGAACTAGCACTCTCTTGAAATTAGAGAAAATTGAGAACCAGGTTCTGCTGTCTCTGTCACAATGTAAGTATTATAATTTTTGTTGCTTCTTCTAGCAATGTGTATTATGCTGCTGCACTTTTAAAATAGTTTTTATTACTTTGGAGAAGGAGCCATACAGTGTTAATCTATTTCATGGGCTATTTCTGGAAGCTGCTAGTAATGGTCATTTGCTATTGCACCACCATTTCCTTGCAATTTTAATTGCAAATGAAGGTATCTAATTAACAACCATACCTTCATGCTTCACCCTGCCCATTAGCCCAAAAGATGGGTTCCCAACCAGAAGAAAGGCATATGCTATAGAGAAAGAAACACCTCTTCTAACCCATTCTCCATGCCCATAACTTATCAGTTAGGTTATTTTTAAACACAGGTCTAGCAATCTTTTCAAAAAGTATTAAACCCATGCCCAAAATATCATAACAGATAGGTTACACGCACAATGGAACAGCGTAGCATGAAGCGGGAGGAACACATAATAGGAAAGTAACCACTAGTGACCTGTTAGTCAGCCAGTTTGACAGTGGTTAAATTCACTATTCAAAGAAGCCACCTGCTATAGAGTGCAGAGGCACTGGTGGGATTCAGCCAGTTATGCCCAATTCGCGCGAACTGGTAGTAAAAATTCTGACTGGCCCCTCCCCGCCCCTCCCACTCACTCCTTTTCGAGCCTCGCCTGCCTTGGGCGATGCCTAGAGTCATGTCTGAGGCATAGACCTGCTCCCTGGTTCCCTCCCTCGCTTGCCTCGACCACGCGTTCCAGCTGATCTCTGCCTGGTGAGTCTTCCTTCGCTTCTCACCCAGCTACGTCCCCCAGGGCCCCACCATGCTTGCTTGCCTTCCCTGCTTCCTTCTATGCAGCCCACAGCCCAGCCATGCTTGCCTGCCTTCTTTGCGGGGAAGAGAAGCGGCTGGGCTGCCGTTGCCTTTCATTGGGGCGCGTGGAGGAAGACGGAGCTCCTCCTCCTGTCTCTTCTTTCCCCCCTTTTCTTGTTCTCTTTGTGGACAGAAGAGTTTTCACCACCCATCGCCGCCCTCGCTTTCCGCAAATTCCCCAAGCATTTCTTTGCCTACCTGATTTCCAACTCCATCGCGTTTTTCCTTCTCGCCATCGTGTGCAGGGAAACGAAAATTTGTGCGGGGCTAAAAAAAAAAAAGGTTCAATCAATCAATTCCAACTTCTCAAGATCTTGCGAAGTTTGAATTAATTGAGTGAATTTTTTTTAGCTCCACACAAACTTTTCTTTCCCTGCACACGATGGTGAGAAACGTGATGGAGCTGGAAATAAGGTAGGCAAAGAAATGCTTGAGAGAAGTGAGGGCATCTGGGTGGTGGTGGTGGGTTGAAAAAGCAGTGGTGGGTGGGGGAAGCTCCGTGGCGCGGGGCTGCAATGGCGAAACGGGCAATGGAGTAGCCAGTGGAAGGGAAGACGACTTTATTTTTCCTTTTCCCCTGCTCCTCGTTTTCCCCCCATGCCAGCAGCTGCCTTTCCCATTCCCCTATTGAGCGCAGCACCCAGGGGGATCCACTTTGATAGCGGGGGTGGGTGGGGTGGGGAACAGAGCAGCCCTGGAAGAGGCATTTCCTTTTTCCCTGCAGGGTGGGAACCCAGGCGTCTCGCTCGAGGACAATCGGGGGGCGAGCAAGCGAGTGCGACCTCCGTGTCTTGGCCAATGCACCAGCCGCGGCCACCGGGAAGAACTCTTGTCATCTTACTCTTCACCGCGGGGAGTTCCAACATACAGTGTAAACAAGCTGCTCACCCTCCATCCCTTCCAACTCCCTGCAAGTCCACCTCCTCCCCACGGCTGCTCCAGAGAGAGGCTTGCTTACGTGGAAGAGGCACCGATCCAAGTGCGCCGCCAGCATGGTGCGTGCGCCCCAGTCAGTCAATCAGTTGGGGTTTCCTGGGAGGCAAGCAACGCTGCCGGGCCCGTGGAAACTACTTAGGCGACCGGCCCGCCTCTAAAAGCAAATGGCGAGGCGAGGCACTAGAGCTGGTTGGAAGTGAGTGTGTGTGTAAGTGTGTGTAATGGCCGGTTTCATCCAAAGCAGTTTTTGTTTCAGTAGCTTTAGAAGGAGAGAGGGAAGGAGGAAGGGAAGGGGAAAAGCAAGAAAGAAAAGCAAGAAAAGGGAAAGCAAGAAAAAGGGAGAGAGAAAGAGAAAGCAAGAAAAGGGATAGACAAAGAAAGAGGAGGTATGGAAGAGAAAGAGAGAGGGGGGAGAGGGAGGGAGTAGAAAGTGAATGAGATATAGTTGGATGGATGTGTCAGCCTCTATGATGCTTGCTTGCTATCGGCTGCCATAGTAAGGGGTGGGAGGTTGGCATTTGGGTGTGTGTGTGAGCTGGAGAGAGATTGCCCTGTGTGAACAAGTAGGGAGAATTGCTCCTCTATTCTACTGCGCAGCTGTATGGACCTGTTTATGCCCAGTCAAGATCAACTGTCTGAGAATACCAGATGGACAAAAACACCTGAAGGTGCTGCCCAGATGACACCAATTGGGATGGGGATTGGACATTTACCCTGGGTCTTTAGGGGGAGGGATTAGGGGATGCTTTCTTTAAAAAAAAAAAAACGGAAACAAACACAAAAGATAAAATTCCATTTTACAACAGTTTCATATTGGTATTCCTCTACAATTCACGTTTTTCCCCCTCCCCGTCTTTACATATATTTATATTTGTGGTTCCCTTGTTCCTTACTTATTTATGTATAAATATATATACCATTTATTCCATTTTAAATATTCCATTTCAACTTTTTCTTTTATCTCTTTTGTCAATTTGTCCATCTTCGCAGAATCCAAAATTTTCTTTACCACCTCCTCCTCTTTTGGTATAGTGTTGCTAGTCCAATTCTGTGCATATGTTATCCTGGCTGCTGTTATAATATGTAAAATTAGATATTGTATTTCTTTGCTATAGTTTCTGGAGTGTATTCCCAATAAAAATAGTTTCGCTTTCCAGTCTATATGGGGTTCAGTTATCTCTTCAAGCCACTTTTTAATTTTAGTCCAATATAGTTTTGCAGATGCTCATGTCCACCATAAGTGATAATATGTTCCATGAGATTTCTTACATTTCCAACAAATCGGTGACGTATTTGGAAACATCTTAGTGAGTCTTGCCAGCGGGAGGTGCCATCTATAAAACATCTTGTACTGGTTTTCCTTGTATGTCATTGCCATGGTCAATTTCACATTTATTTCCCACAATTTTTCCATTTCTCCAGTTCTATATTGTATCCCAAAATTTTTGTCCATCTTATCATTGTCTCTTTGACCACCTCATCTTCCATCTTGTATCTCAATAAATATTTGTATATTTTACTAATTAGCTTTTCTTCCATGCCTTGTTAAATTCTGTCTAATTCCTGCTGCTCGTTTTGAAATTCATATAATTTTATATCCTTTCTATATCTGGACTCCATGGATTACTGCCTTGTTGTGGTGAAGGGGCTTACATAGCTCAATGAAGCTATGAGCTATGCTGTGCAGGGACACCCAAGACCGACAGGTCATAGCAGAGGGTTCTGACAAAACGTGATCCACTGGAAAAGGAAATGGCAACCCACTCCAGTATCTTTGCCATGAAAACCCCAGGGACAGTACCAAAAGGAAAAAAGATATGATGCTGGAAGATGAGCCCCTCAGGTTGGAAGGTGTCCAATTCCCCTACTGGGGAAGAGCAGAGGGCTAGTACAAGTATTGCCAGAAAGAGTGAAGTGACTGGGCCAAAGCCGAAAGGACGCTCAGCTGTGGATGCATCTGGTGGTGAAAGGAAAGTCTGATGCTATAAAGATTTTTTCTCCATAGGAACCGGGAATGTAAGATCCATGAATCAAGGAAAGCTGGACATTGTCAAACGAGATGACAAGAGTGAACATCGACATCTTAGGAATCAGCGAACTAAAATGGACAGGAATGGATGAATTTAATTCAGATGACCATCAGGTATACTACTGTGGGCAAGAATTTCTCAGAAGAAATGGAGTAGCCTTCATAATCAATATAAGAGTAGGAAAAGCAATACTGGGATACAATCTCCAAAATGACAGAATGATCTCAGTTTGAATCCAAGGCAAACCATTCAATATCACAGTAATCCAAGTCTATGGAACCCCAACCACTGATGCTGAAGAGGATGAAATTGACTGGTTCTATGAAGCCCTATACCACCTTATAGAATTAACACCAAAAAATGATGTCCTTATCATCATGGGGGATTGGAATGCTAAAGTAGGAAGCCAAAAGATAATGGGAATAACAGGCAAGTTTGGCCTTGGAGTACAAAAGCAGGGCACAGGCTGATAGAATTCTGTCAGTGTTGTGGTCCGCCCGCAGCCTGCGAAGCTGTCAGCGGAGTCAGACAGCGATGAGGCTGAGGAAGCACATGGGCCTACTTGGGCCTAGGTTCCAACAGTCAAGAGAATACAATGGTCATAACAAACACTCTGTTCCAACAACCCAAGAGACGACTCTACACATGGACATCACCAGGCGGTCAACACAGGAATCAGATTGACTCTGCAGCCAAAGATGGAGAAGCTCTATACAATCAGTAAAAACAAGACCAGGAGCTGACTGTGGCTCAGATTTGGGAAAGGAATCCAGCAAGGCTGTATACTGTCACCCTGCTTATTTAACTTATATGCAGAGCACATCATGAGAAAGGTGGGGCTAGATGAATCAAAAGTTGGAATTAAGATTGCCAGGAGAAATATCAACAAACTCAGATATGCAGATGATACCACTCTAGTGGCAGAAAGTGAAGAGGAACTAAAGAGCCTCTTGATGCAGGTGAAGAAGGAGTGCAAAAGTTGGCTTGAAACTCAACATTAAGAAAACTAAGATCATGGCATCTGGCCCTCTCAATTCCTGGCAAATAGATGGGGAAGAAATGGAAGTAGTGACAGATTTTATTTTCCTGGCCTCCAAGATCACCGCAGATAGGGACTGCAGCCAAGAAATTAAAAGATGCTTGCTCCTGGGGAGGAAAGCTATGGCAAATCTAGACAGCATACTAAAAAGCAGAGTCATCATTCTGCCAACAAAAGTGTGTATTGTCAAGGCTATGGTTTTCCCAGTTGCAATGTATGGCTGTTGGGCCATAAGAAAGATTGAGCACCAAAGAATTGAGGCCTTTGAACTATGGTGCTGGAGAAGACTCCTGCAAGTCCCTTGGACTTGCAAGGCGATCAAACCGGTCATTCTTAGAGGAGATCAACCCTGACTGCTCTTTAGAAGGCCAGGCCCTGAAGATGAAACTTAAATACTTTGGTCATCTAATGAGAATGAAGGACTCACTGGAGAAGAGCCTAATGCTGGGAAAGAGGGCAAAAGAAGAATGGGACGACAGAGAATGAGATGGCTGGATGGAGTCACTGTAGCAGTAGGGGTGATTTTAAATGGACTCCAGAGGATGGTAGGGGACAGGAAGGCCTGGGGGAACATTGTCCATGGGGTCGCAATGGGTTGGACACAACTTCGCAAGTAATAACAACAAAATATCTGGACTGAATTTGGGTGTATATGTTGTGACCCAGGCCCAAGTAGTTAGTATTAAATACAAACAGTTCAAAAACAGACTTTATTAGAACAGCTGAGAATTAACTCATTCTCAGCATAGTCCAAACTAAATTAAAGCAGATTCTTCAAAACACCATTCCACAGTTTTATCTCCTGACCTTGGGATAATTAGGCAAACTGCCAAAGGCTTTTCTTGGCAAAAGTTCAGAAGCAGAAGACACTGACAAGAAATGAATACAGTGAAACAAGAACCAATTCTCTCAATGTTGTTTTCCGGCAAAGAGGCCAAGAGCCATTGCTGGTCTTTTAAGCCTTATGGGAGGGGCCAATCATCTCTTGGCCCTACTTCTGAGTTGTCCTCTCTGCTTTCTCTAGATACCATCACATCAACTGATGGACGGCCTGCAACTCGGACAGATAATCATTAGCTGCCGGTACCGGGGAGTCGAGTTGTGTGAGAGGAAAGAACCGAGGATGGTATCCCATATTAGCCAGGAAAGGGGTCGTTTGTGTAGAGGTGTGCTGCGAGTTGTTGAACGCAAACTCTGCTACTGCCAAATAGTCCAACCAATTATCTTGTTGCTGGTTCATGAAGCAGTGCAGGTATTGTTCCAGAATGCTGATAGCTTTTTCAGTCCCATTGTCAGTTTCCAGATGATGTGCTGATGACAGGCAGATTTTCATGTCCAAAGCCGTCATCAGCCCTTTCCAAAACTGGGCTGTAAATTGAGTCCCTCTGTCCGAAACAACCTTATCAGGTAGGCAGTGCAGCTGGAAAATGTGTTGGATAAATATGTGGGCAGTGGCGCGAGCATCAGTAACCCCCAAAATGGGATGAAATGCACCATCTTCGTCAGCATGTCCACCACCACGAACATGGTCGTGAATCCAGAAGACGGAGGCAAATCCGTCAAGAAGTCCATGGAAATGGCACCCCAGGATCTTTCTGGTGTCGGCAATTGCTGAAGCAGCCCTGGAGGGGCTCCCGTTGCCGACTTGGCCTGACGGCAGTGAACATAAGACATGACATAAGCCTGGACATTGTGTCGCAATCAGGGCTACCAAAAAGTGCGGGAAACTAGATGTAATGTCTTAAAGAGGCCAAAATGCCCCACCGCAGGATTATCATGGCACTGCGACAAGATAAGTCCCCGGAGTGGCCCCACCAGCACGTAGAGCCTGTCTCGGTACCACAAGAGTTCCTCATGAAACGTCCATGGAGAGGCAGGGCCCTCCTCTTCCTTCCATTGGTCCACATAAGCATTATGCCGCTGCGCTTCCCGTATCTGAGCCCATAAATCCACTGGTTCCTGAACTGCAGAGAAAGACTCTACAGGCAACACTGTCTGGAGCGGAAGCAGGTCTTTGATGTGGGAATACTCTGGTTTCTAGGAGAGCACATCCGCCCTTTGGTTGTGAGCACTGGGAATATACGTCATGTGGAAATTGAACCGGGCAAAGAAGAGGGACCACCGAATCTGCCATTGGTTCAGTTTCTGGGCAGTCTGTAGGAACTCCAGGTTTTTATGGTCTGGCCAGACTTCAATTTGATGCCAGGTCCCCTCCAGAAGATGTCTCCAGGCCTCAAATGCCATCTTAATGGCCAGTAACTCCTTCTCCCAGATGGTGTAATTGCGCTCAGAAGGGTTGAGCTTCCGCGAATAATATGTGCAAGGGAAGAGGGTACCGCCGGACGTGCAAGCCTAGAGCAACACAGCACCACCAACAACATCCGATGCATCTGCTTTCACCACAAATGGATGGTGGGGGTCAGGATGCTTCAAGATAGGCTCCTTCATGAAGGCCTGTTTCAAGGCCTGGAATGCCTGCTGCTCGGGGGTACCCCACCAGAATGGGATTTTTTCTGCAGAAACCAAATGAGGAGTGCGGTCAAGGCAGCAAAGCCGGGGATAAAAGTCTGATAGTAGTTGGTGAACCCGAGGAAGCGCTGGACATCCTTCACTCATCGAGGAGGTTGCCAACTATGCAAAGACTCCATCTTGCTCGGCTCCATGGCAATGCCCTCGGAAGAGATGCGATGTCCCAGGAACTCGATGGTGGACTGGAAAAACTGGCATTTCTCCAGTTTAGCATACAGATGATGCTCCCAAAGACGTTGCAGGATCATGTGGAGGTGCTGTTGGTGGCTCTCCTGGGAAGGAGAGTAGATCATAATGTCCAAGTAAATGACGACAAACCTGTCCAAGAATGTCGCTAAAAATGTCATTCATGAAATGTTGGAAGACGGCAGGAGCATTGATCAGCCCAAACGGCATGACTGTATACTCAAAATGTCCGTAATGGGTGCCGAACGCCATCTTCCATTAATCCCCGGGACGGTTCCGAACAAGATTATAAGCCCCCCACAAGTCCAATTTAGTGAACACGGTAGTCTCCTGAAGCTGTTCCAAAAGTTTGGGAATAAGGGGCAGAGGATACCGGTTGTACACCATGATAGTGTTTTACTCGGGGTAGTTGCAACAAAGCCGCAAGTCTGTGGTCTTCTTTTTCATGAACAGGACCGGGGCGGACAATGGCGACAACGAGGACCGGATAAAACCCTGAGCCAGATTTTTGTCCACAAAGACCCGTAACGCAGCCAACTCAGGGTCCAACATCAAATACAAATGCCCCACTGGGAGTGGCGTGTCCAGAATCAAATCAATGGGGCAGTCGTATGGCCAGGGCGGGGGCAATTGGTCTGCCTCCTGCTCGCTGAAAACATCCGCAAAATCCTTGAGGTCGGAAGGCAAGGACACCCCGGTTGGACCCAGCAGCTGGTCTGCGCAGATTTGGCAGGT